TTTTTTTGAGTTGGAGTCTCTGTCACCCAGGCTGGAGTGCAGTGGCACGCTCATGGCCACCCCAGCGTTGACCTGCTGGGCTCTGGCAATCCTTCAGCCCCAGCTTTCCAAGTAGCTGGAACTACAGGCCCGCTATCATACCAGCCTAATCTTTTGACTTACTGTAGAGATGAGGTCTCACGAAGTTGCCCAGGCTGGTCTCAAACCCATGGGCTGAGGCAATCCTCTCACCTTGGCGTCCCAAAGTGCTAGGATTGCAGGCTTGAGCCAACCCGACCATGGGTTCTTTAAAAAAAAAAAAACCTTTACTGAGATGTAATTCGCATGCTGTCGGACTCGTTTGTGGACAAGGGCCACTTTTTGCTTTCAGAGTTGTGCACCCACCACCTCTAATTCCAGACACTCCCTCACCCCAAAAGGAAGCCCTGTCCGTATTATCTGTCACCTCCTGTCCCTTCCCCGGCGTCTGGAACCCACGGATCCATGTCCTGTCTGTGCACTCTGCCATTCTGGACATTTTACATAAATGGAGTCACACCTCGTATATCCTCGTGGGTCTGTGTCTCCCCGCGCGTGACGTTCTCAAGGCCCCCCACCGTGGCCTGTGTTGGTGCCTCTTGCCTTCTCGTGGCTGAGTTATGTTCCACTGGCGGGTGGACCCTGGGTTGTTTCCGCCTTGGCTGTGGGTCTCCTGCTGTGGGCGCGTGTGCAGGTCTCTTGTGGACACGAGCCTTCTCTCCTCTGGGGTACGTGCCTGTGGTGGAACTGCTGGGGCCCATGGCCACCTGAGTCTGACCCTAGGAAGGGGTGGCTGGCTTTCCTCCCCCCACTGGGGGAGGGCCTCGCTGCGGGCTGCTACTGGAGACGCACGTGGCGGCCACCAGCGGTGGGGCAATCAGTGCCGCCTGGCCTGCTGGCCCCGGGCCCAGGTCGTAACCTTGCTACAGGCATGGTAGGTGTCAGTGGGACGGCTGTCCCCGTCCCTTTCTGTGGCTGCTTCCCATGCCCCTCCTGTGGCCCGTCCTCCACTCCCCTTGGGAGCTAGCAGCCGGGCGTCCTTGGTGAGTTGTCCACGGGGCTCTGTTCACGCTGCCTGACAGAGCCCGTCCCCTGAAACCCGTGGCTGTTCTTCAGGTCACGGCGTGATGGGCATCTGCCCGTGTCTGGCCTCCCTGCTGCGGCCGGCCTGGAGGGCTGGCCTTCCGAGGCGCCTCAGCAGACATCCCTTCTGTCTTCTGGTGCCCGCCTCGGGGCCGCTGCCCCAGCTGGGCTTGCATCCCCTGGCCCTGTGGCCGGCGCGGCCTCCTGGCTCCAAGGGTCCGGCCCAGGACGGAGGGAAGGCTCCCTCAGAGAAGGGGGCGGTGGGAGAGCCTGACTGTGGCCCTGCCCGCGGCCGCAGGGCAGCAGCTCGAGCGGCGTGCGGGTGGGCTGACGCCCATGCTCC